ATCTCTGTGTGGAATTCCAAATAATTGTGTAGATACTCCACCCTCAAGTAGGTGTCACATGACTGCCCACGGCTTAAATATGAGCTGTAGATAATAACTTTCTTCCAAAGTGAAAAGAAGGAAAAAGAGTAACTTTACAGAGCAGAAACTTGACAATCTACTATCTCAGCCCGAGGTTAAGGTTAAAAATCAGCAATGATAAGTCATGTTGATAGTATGTACCCTTGCTTTAATGTAGTGAGAATGGCATTTTACTTCTGCAGTCTTCTGTAAAACCCATAATCTAAATCTAATCATAAGAAAAAGATCAGAGCAATTTCACTTGAAGGAAATTCTAGATATTACCTGACCAGTACTTTTCAAAACTGTCAAGTTCATCAAAAACAAGGAAAGCCAGAGAAAGTGTCACAGCCAAGAGCAACCTAAGGAGAGATGACAGCAAAATATTGTGTGGTATCCTGGAATAGAAAAAGAACATTAGGTGAAACCTAGGGAAATATTAATTAAAAGATAGTTCTTACTTAGTTAATTGAAAAAATGCATTGGCTAGGCAGTCTCTCCTATTGGTATATCACAATTTATTCCTATTTATAATAAAAGTATGTAAAAATTTATCCCTATTGTAATGCTTTCTGAATCATTCAATTTAATTCGGTGCCATGCTAGAACAAAGAAACTGATACCATGCTCAGATCAAAGACAATTTGCAACAAATGCCAGTACATTTTTCTTTTTTTTAAATTACACATACCAAACAAAATCAATTAAAATACCATTTGGTATACTGCAACAAGAAAAGGACAAACTATCTGGAGACTTTATAATGGGAAAAAGCAAAGGTAGAACATTTTTAAATTAAAGAAGGAAATACGTATATTTATAACAATATCAGACATCATACCTAGAATATAAGTTACTTGGGATTCCATATGTGACATCTGTCTTGGAAACAATCTATATGAAGATATGTCAAAAAAGATTATGTCTTTATGTAATCAAGTGCAGTTTTGAAAATTACATCTGTCATGATTGAAGAGAGACCATTAGGTGATTACTACAATATAGGAAAATATTTAGCAAATGTGTTATAGTTCTAACATGGCTGAGATTTCCAAGTTTATTAGAAATTTGATTGAATTTAGTCATGACCATAGGATAAATGAAAATGTATATATCTCCCATTTTGTATCACTACTGGTATCATCTTAAGAAGAATAGCACCTTCTGGAGGAACCTTATGATTGAAGCATAATTATTTTTATTCTTTGTAGACTGTAGTGCATACATTAGCAGGCATATTCTCTGGTGAATGGCAACATAATGTAGAGAAAGAGGACTTTGGAGAACCATATGGAAGTTCTTTGTTCCCATAGCAACTTGAGCATACATTGAAAGGATCTGTGTATATGACTGTTCTCTATCTATAGTATAATGGACTTAGTACAGGACTGTATCTTGTTTTTCTTTCTCCATTGCCTATAGTTATTAAAGTAAAGCATTCTGATCTTAAGTGATGTTAGAGTCAGATGAATGGACCCCAACATAACATATAAATATAATCCCAACTCTGTTACTTAACAGCAGTATGGTAGAGTTGATTCGATCATAAGTTTGTAATAGTTTGATCTAGAGTAGATACTAAATAAATATTTGGCTCCCTCCAATGTAATTGAGGTTGTGGATATTTTTCAATATCATTTCCAGTATTGTTTTTATTTCCGTTATCTTAAAAAATGTTTGTTTCTATTACCATTATTAGAATCAAACCCTAATTTGAAATAAATACCTCCTTGTATTATAAATAAATACCTACTGCTTGTAGGACAACCAGTGGACCATTTTTTTAATGGTTGGTGACAGCCTTGGGCACAAAGGGAGAGTGGGTTTTAACTCTTTGCATGGTTTCTTTCAGGAAATGTAACTGAGTTCAGCCAATGGCTTTATTTTCTTAACTTTATAGAAGTTTTAGTTCCCTTTTGTTTCTGATTTTCCATTTATTATTATTTGTAATAAATACAAGTGAGAAATATAAAATATAAGTGATAAAAGTAAAATATGAAAGTTATGTATATAATGACTGCCATCATTTAAATAAATATGGACAAATTGTAAAAGATTTGTAATGTTGATATAATAGACTTACATGTTCAATGTTTTCTAAAGTCTGTGCTATTTTAAGTTAAAACGCTTAAAATTTTTTGTTTATAATTTATTTCTGTTAACGAATTGACATAGGAAAGACCATTTGTCTCTTTAATCAATAGCATTTTGAACTTCTACTCAGCCTTTTAACATTACTCTATGTGTGTTTACTTGCTTTTGTCAGGCTGCCTCCCTTCTGTTATAACCGGACACCCTTTCCTTCTAGAATACTATAAAATTGTTCTGGAGCAGGACTCTCACACCTCATATATGAAATATAGGGGGCTCAGTAGAGAAGGCATCCTATGAAATAGGGAGTGGTGTGCTTATTACTGGAGTCTGAAGGACCCACTTAGAGGCATAAGAAATGTACTTCCTTTTCAACACTGGTACATTCTGGTGTCCAAAGAAGTCAAATCTCTGGATTAAATTCTTTTTATCAGCTGGTATTTTACTAGTTCTGCTCTATCTAGAGCACATGTTCTTTTTTTTTTTTTAAGTTTATTTATTTATTTTGAGAGAGACAGAGACAGCACAAGTTGGGGAGGGGCAGAGAGAGAGAGGGAGACAGAATCCCAAGCATGCTCCATATTGTCAGCATGCCAGACGCAGGGCTTGAGCTCATGAAACGATGAGATCATGACCTGGGCCAAAACTAAGAGTTGGACACTTAAGCGACTGAGCCACCCAGGCACCCCTTGAGCACATGTTCTTAACCTGGGGCTAGATACAGAATTCCTATAGAAAAAAAATCTTTATTTTTATACTCTGACATTTATTATTTAATTATGAATGAAAGTAATAAATCATGGTAATATTAGCAGTACTTATGACTTTGTCAACATTATAAATCAGAGATGTTTTCATATCACATTATAGTTGGTATATATATCTCACTATGTTTATATTCTCTACTGCTTCAAAATGCAGTAGTTATTAGACTTGGTATTAGGTCTTGTTAATTGATGCCTTATTAAGGAAGATGGATTAAGACACAATTTGAGATAAGGAGGCTAGAAAATGAGATCAAGAAGCATTTTCTATTTTATTTGTACTATTCCATTTCTTAAGTTAGATGGTGAATTCATGAGTGTTTATTTTATTGCCATGTTTTATAACCTCATTATTCTGTGTTCCTTTGTATGCAATAAAAATTTATGTAACTTTTAAGTCTTTGTATAATATCTGTTAGATGCCAGTAGTGCCCACTCTACTCCCTGCTCCCCCCATTTTGAAAAATCCCTACCACTGCCCTTGCTGAACTGGTAGAGTACCATGTGACCCTACACTGTGGGATAGTTTGTTGAGCTAGAGGTGAACTCCCGACCTATGGAGTAATCTATGAAGTTGCTCAAAATCTTGAATTTTAAGGATATGGTTTGAAAAGAAGAACTGGATGGAGCTGCCTCTTGATCAAAATCTTGAATTGAGACACAGAAGATGTCTCTTACTATAGATAATTGAATCCAAAGGCCTATACCTATTATGGGATATAGTAAGAGGGACTCATTGGTTACATTTAGTAAGGCCAATGAACTCCTAAAACTATGTATGTGCAGAAGTTTATATGATCCTTCAGGGATGCTCATGGCTGTCACCTGAGGTCTCTGATCTAACACAGGGTAAGAAATAGGGGATAAGAGGCTTATGAAGAACTTGGGTAGCTAAATGAAAACAGAGCAGATAAATAGAGGGAAACAGAGAAACTAGGAGGGACACTGAAATAGAGGTGAATAGGCTTGTGCCCTTCCTGAGCCATCTTTTATCATTTTGGGATATTCTTATGGGAAATCTGATGCTTTCAAAAGGAAGATCAGTTGAGATCTTTTTATTTATTTGGATTAAAAGAGTCCTGTGTATGAAAATATAAAAGGTATACCCTTAATGAATTTTTAGTTAATTTTCAAATTTGGAAGTTTTCCTAAAGAGCAAATCAACTTACAGTTGTTCAAAAACTGTTCATTACTATGGAGAATAGTTGGAATGGTTAATTCTTGGCAATTAATTAACACTTGAGCAAGAACTCAAGGGAGATTTTTTTTAAGTTATAGAAATAGTACAGAGAGAATCATCCAAGTCATTCTAGGCATATTAGGTGTGTTGAAATGCTAGTGAGAATTCTTTTTTCTCATCAGTCATTGGTCTGGGAAGCACTAGTAGCCACCTTTCAAACTATGATGTGCTTGGCTATGCATTACTTTTGCAGTGATTTGTGGTTCCAAGTAAAACTTAATGCTTCTGATCACACATAGTCAAAAACCAAAACCAAAAATCAACAAATGGATCACAACAGAATTGTCCCTTTTAAGTTGCAAATTCCTGATTATTCAGCCAGAATGAATTCTTTCAGGGAGAAATGGAACCATGTTCTAGATTCTAAAATGTATTTCTTTATTGCACATACTGCTCCTTGTTTATTGTCCTTGCTTTCTCAAACGTTTTAATTGTTCTTGGGGCAAGGAAACTAGAACTTGCAAAAATCTTGAAAATGTTTTTCTTATTGTGTAAAGACTATTGGCTCTGCATTCTCCAACCAATATTTTTGAAGTCCCTTTCGATTTGTACACTTACATAACCATTCAGAGGAATTATTGCCCTACTCATAAAAAGTACTTTGTCTTATGATGTTTGGAGAATTTATCATTTACTACCTAAGGAGGAAGTCATTTTTTTTTCAAGTGGCAAAAGCTGCATGAAAAACATATGTGACAAACATGTGGTACCCCATTGTTATATAGGGTCATTGTCAGTTAGCCCTCTTGCAGATCTCTCCTGAAGTTAAGGTAATCTAGTAGAAAACAAACCAGATAGAAATTTAATACTTTTTTTTCTATCTTTTTCTCTGGGTTTAGGCATTAACTCTCAAAGTGATTGTTATGGTGCTCTTTGGAAAGTTATAAATTATGTACTTCAGTGTCACATGGTTGCAGGTGAAACAAATGTGATTCTTGAAGTTTCAAGCAAAAAAATAATTAAAAAAACAGTATCTTTTAAATAGGGGTAAGTACTATTAAGTGTTTTATATCATACACGAATAACTCATTGTAAATAACATATAAAGGACATATTTTATGGTTTCACATACATTTTCTTTTTTTTTATTTTTTTTAACATTTTTATTTTTGAGACAGAGAGAGACAGAGCATGAACGGGGGAGGGGCAGAGAGAGAGGGAGACACAGAATCGGAAGTAGGCTCCAGGCTCTGAGCCATCAGTCCAGAGCCTGACGCGGGGCTCGAACTCACGGACCGTGAGATCCTGACCTGAGCTGAAGCCGGACGCTTAACCGACTGAGTCACCCAGGCGCCCCTACATTTTCAATGTATATGCATCTTCAGCTAAGCATGGTTTAATCTGATTTCCCTATCAGTGAAAATATTCTTTTTTCGGTATAATAGTTTAATGTTACACTTGTGATCTTGACTTCATTCACATAATGTAGTTTTGCTATAATAACCTGTGAATTTCATGGGGCTCCATTGAAAAAGCAGCTCAAAGCAGGCAGGCCAGGTGAATAAGGTGGTCTAACAAATCTGATCTGAAAGAGTGTTGCTGAAAAATTATCACACACAGGAAGCACAGCGGCAAGGAGTATTGTCTGCATATTATGGGAATGACTTCCATTATTATAGGTTAGGTATAAAGGCATTCTGAAAAATGTCAAAAGAATGCTCAGAATTGATTGCTGTTGCATCTTTAAGAAAAACTAAGAACTCGGGGTACCTGGGTGGCTCAGTCGGTTAGGCATTTGACTTCAGCTCAGGTCATGATCTCATGGTTCATGAGTTTGAGCTCTGCATCAGGCTCTGTGCCCACAGCTCAGAGCCTGGAGCCTGCTTCAGATTCTGTGTCTGTCTCTTTTTGTCCCTACCCTGCTCTCTCTCTTTCTCTGTCTCTCTCTCAAAAATAAATAAATATTTTTTAAACTAAATAAAAAAAATTTAAAAATGTAAGAACTCATAATGCTTGACCATTAGAAAAGACTTCATAATTTGGGAATGATTCTCTAATTGGAATGAGCAAAAATAAACAAATAAGCAAAACATGAAGAAATAGAGCTTTCACTAGAATTAAAAACTTGATGAAAATATTGCTTGTGTGATGTTTCATTTTGACTCTAGTGGCATATGTAGGTATTGTACTTTAAGAATTAAGGAACACCTTTAATACACACTATTTATTAATGTGAAAAATAGTTCATGTGGTATTTTGAAAGCAATATAACTTTTATTACTGGATATGACTGTATTTATGGGCTAAATTGAGTTCCCTCAAAATTCATAAGTTAAAGTCCTAATCTCTAGTATCTTAGAGTGTGACTTTCTTTGTAAGAGACTACCTTTAAAGAGGTAATTAAGTTAAAATGAGACTTTAAAGGTAGACCCTCATCCAACTTGACTGGTGTCCTTATAAAGGATTAGGACACATAAACAGAAACCAGGGATGTTTGTGCACAGAGGATAGATATGTGTAAACACAGCAAGAAGGCAGCCATCTGCCAGAAGAGGAGAGAGGATATCAGAAGAAACCAAATCTGCCAATAGCTTGATCTTGAACTTCCAGCTTCCACAACTGTGAGAAATAAATTTCTGTTGTGTAAACCAGCCAGAGTGTGTGACATTCTGTTAGGGCAGCCTTACTAAACTAAAGCACTTTGTCTTATTAAGATACTGGAAGAATTTGGTCCTAAAATACTGTTGTAAATTCTGAAGAAACGACTGCTCACCTGTGTCAGCTAGCTATATGAATTGTCACACAGGATTATAAGAAAAGTGAATACCAACTCAGATTCAAGGATCCCCTAGAAAGGTATGAATAATTGAAATCGATATGTTGTCTCAGTCATCATATAAGTGGAAGTTTATATCTCTTTAAGAGGCATCCTGAGGTTAAATTATGCATTTCGTAATGCTTTGTGTTAATCCCCATTGTTTTATAAATCTAAGAAGAGTAACAAGTATATTTGACTTGAAAATTTTTCGATGCTGCACTGGAAATGATTACAACATATTATATAGTTGGTTTGGAGGAATAAAACCTATTAAAGAATATTAAATGATACCCTCTTTTGGAGTCCAAATTAGTAATCATTTTCTTTCTTGCCCTTGTTTAGCTCTGAAGAATTTATTTTATTTTATTTTACTTTATTTTATTTTGTTTAAAAATTTTTTTTTAACATTTATTTATTTTCGAGACAATGTGAGAGACAGGGTGCAAGCAGTAGAGCTGCAGAGGGAGACACAGAATCTGAAGCAGGCTTCAGGCTCTGAGCTATCAGCCTGGAGCCCGATCGGGGCTCGAACTCACGAACCATGAGATCATGACCTGAGCCAAAGTCGGACACTTAACCAACTGAGCCACTCAGGCGCCCCTGAAGAATTTATTTTAAATACACAAGAAGCCTCATTTATTTGTTACACCTTAATTTTAGATAGGAGTCTTTTGTATAATTAATTTATCAGTTATTTTTTGTATTAAAGACATTTAAATAGCTACAGACCTCTAGTTTAATGGAAATGTCTTCTATTTTCCACCACAACAGTGATGTTTGATGTAGCTTTGCTAATGTAAGCAATGCCTACTCCATCAGTGAAGGCAACAGTTCAAATGGTTTAAATAGTACACTCAGTAAACCTCTCTACTCCAGCTTCTCCAACTTATTTTTTGATGTGTGACTGTCAGTTAATCTTAAATGTCAAACTTTCTCTATAAAGCATCATTATGGGTATCTTCTATCATAATACATTTATCAAGGACAATTTATAAGATATGCAAAAATGTACCATTCCTCTATGAGTAAAATGATCTTTGAAGAGCATTTGATAGTCAGAGATTACTCTAATAATAGATGTGAATTTTCAGTTAATATATTTCTTATGATAGTTACTTTTTAATTAGGGCCAATTAGTGTATGAAGTATTTTACTTCATTATTTTTCTTTCTTGCATTTGTTTGATCAAATATAACCTGTAAGAAATGGTGGGCAAGGCAGGTAACATATTTTCAAAGTTGAGAACAGTTATGGTAAAGGATGAGTGCTTAGAGGTTTTTAAATATTGATTGATTGGGGCGCCTGGGTGGCGCAGTCGGTTAAGCGTCCGACTTCAGCCAGGTCACGATCTCGCGGTCCGTGAGTTCGAGCCCCGCGTCAGGCTCTGGGCTGATGGCTCGGAGCCTGGAGCCTGTTTCCGATTCTGTGTCTCCCTCTCTCTCTGCCCCTCCCCCGTTCATGCTCTGTCTCTCTCTGTCCCCAAAATAAATAAAAAACGTTGAAAAAAAAATAAAAAAATAAATATTGATTGATTAATATTAGATTTATAGGTTATTTATGAAATAGTCTATTATATGGAATTTATAAGCTTTACAAGTAAATTCAAATAATATATAAAGCATAGTATTATAGTACTTTTTGTCATTTTATACAAGGTAAAATAACTAAAACATGGGCATATAAAATAACAATGATAATTAATGAACTAGGGTTAAACTGTGCTTAGGTATAAATGATCGAAGGATACAGGCTTTGTGTCACTTAACATCTTCTCTGTCCCTTGAAGAGTATAAAATAATTGCAGTTCATACCAACCGCTAAGAAAATTCTTTACTGCTTTGAAAGCAGCCAAAATTGTCCTCAGAAATTCATGCAAAAGAACACAATTCCCTATTACTTTTATATAATTTGTAAATAGTTTATATATGAAATGCGTATGTATTTCAATGATGATTAAGATAGCTAACAGAATGCATACAGAATACTTTAGTTATCTCACAGTATATCCTCAAAAGAAAATAAAAACCAAGGTATTGATATAACCTTCCCACCTTGAATCTCATTGTCAGGCTGCAAATGTACAGGGGGTTAATGTGTCCATTTCTTCCCTCTCAACCTTCCTATTTATAGACTTAAAAAATTGCCGTGACTGGTGTAAGAAGAAAATGTCAAAAGGTTATAAAACACTGCGGAGAAAACATTTTTAATGAGTCTTCTGGTACCCCGAACTAAGAAAGATCAGAAATAAGGTTATTATAATAAAACCAGATAATGAAACAAGTGTTCGAGACATGTTTTCTAGTATTATTTCTACCTATCTATATTGCATAATTAGTGGTAGGCAAGTTAGGTTGTAAACTGTGAGAAAAACAACACATTTTTCCAACTCTGGCTCCTTGCTCTGCTGCAGGCAGCTGGGAATGCTTTCCAGAAATAGAAGATGGCTGTAACAAACAATAAAATATAGGCAGTGAGAGCCACAATGATCTCTTTATCACATCTGTCATCACTGCACATACTGACGGATTTATCAGAATGCTATGTGAGTCTGAAGGCAATGTGTCACAATCTGTGGGTATGCCTGGTCCCAAAGGATTTATTGCTTCATTAGGAACCACAGGAAGAACTTAAATTAAATAAAAAATTTAAAATAATGAATTTATATTTCCTAATAACCTGGAATGAGATTTCGACTGCAATAATAAACATGTGCTTCAATTACACATATTTTGTTCTGCCTTTAGCCATTGCTCTTTTTAAAAAATGTTACTTCTTAGTTTCTTCTAACTCAGAAACACAGAGGGTTGGCTTTTGCTGGTTAAAGTTTAATGGTGTTGGAAGACTTCAAAACCAAAATGATAAAACTGGCTAGAGGTTCTTATCAAGTCCGTCAGGAAAGTAAACCACTTGTTTACATTGCTCAAGCGTGAGGTTTTATCCTCTCATATGGACTAATTGTATGACCTTATGAGTGTGTCAAAAAGGATGCTAAAAAGGTCAGAAAATCTGGGTTCCGTTCAGCTCTTACAAACTGTGTGACTTTAGAGAATCATCATATCTTACCTCAGGATGTTGTGAGATTAAAATGCATATGGTAAATCTTTTGTGAAGTGGAAAATGATATTCCTTCATCTATGAGTGGACTAGAGTCATTCATTAGACTGGAGTCAGAGCACTGGAGCTCTAGATTTAATACTTTATGTTCAATAATTTCTTCCAGTTCTATGGGATTACCTGAATTTGGTTTTAGTGGTATAAAACTGCTTTGTGAAAAATCTGCTAGTAATATTTTTTATTTCTGAAGATCGTGCCTGTATGATCTTTAGTTATTCAATTAACCTCTCTGAAATATTAGTGTACTCTATAGAAACATAAAGGAATCAGAGTAGATGATTTTTAATGTTCAATCCAGTCCTCCACTGTTTTACCACATTCACACTGCTCCTTCTTTGTATTGAAATCTGGGTCAACAGGCACAGAAAAGACCTTAGGACTCAACATTTCCTGTTTGCATGTGGCTCAATGGAACTGAGATCATCTCCATCACTGGCTTTGTTGTCCGGTTTATCTTCATATTACAGGTTCTGTTACGAAGTACTTTCTATTTTGGTCGTCAGGATTCTTGCTTGTTTTCGCCTGAGGCTTGCAGAGTTATGAGTAAATATTTTATCAGTTAAACTAATACCTAAACTAACCCTTTCTTTTTCTTTTTTTTCTCTGTTTTCGTGAAAGACTTGTCACAGAAACTACATACTAATGTCACAGAAACACAACATCAACAATTCAAAATTCCAAACCACAGTAATCTATCCCAAAGGTAAAAATTAGAAAGTTTCCAAATGCCATTCTGCTTTTGAAAGGACTATGATTCCTGAGCAATCACAGTTCTATTTCCTGTTAATATTGTTGCTCATGCTTTTTATAATGTTTTACAATTTTGAGAGATTAGGCCAATGTATGTTAAATGATCTAAAAAGCAGTAACAGTAAAAGCACTTTAAGTATAGGTAAATGTGCATAGAAAAATCATAATTTATTTAAGAAAGTCCACAGAGGATTGATTGTCAATATTTTAATTTTTTTTTCAACATTTATTTCTTTTTGGGACAGAGAGAGACAGAGCATGAACGGGGGAGGGGCAGAGAGAGAGGGAGACACAGAACTGGAAACAGGCTCCAGGCTCCGAGCCATCAGCCCAGAGCCCGACGCGGGGCTCGAACTCACGGACCGCGAGATCGTGACCTGGCTGAACTCAGACGCTTAACTGACTGCGCCACCCAGGCGCCCCTGTCAATATTTTAAATTTTACTTTCTGCCTCTTTTGTGATTTGGAATTATATTAAATTAATAATCCCTTTTACTCTTTTTCAGTCAGTTTGTATTAGTTATGGTTCTCCAGAATAACAGAACTATAGGTTGATGTATGTATGTATGTATGTATGTATGTATGTATCTATCTATCTATCTATCGGTTGGGTTTTTTTGTGTGTGTTTTTGTTTGTTTGTTTTGTCTTGTTTTGTTTTTAGGAACTTGTGCAGGCTGGCAAATCCAAGATCTGTAGGATAGGCCAGGAGGCTAGAGAATAAGAGTTGCAGTTTCAGTCAGAAGGCAGTCTTCTGGCAGAATTCTTTCTTCTTCCGGGAAGGCCAGTTTTTGTCTAGTAAAGTCTTCAGCTGATTGGATGAGTCCCACTCACATTATGGAGGGCAATCTGATTTAAATGTTAATCTTATCTAAAAAATATCTTTATAGAAACATCTGGAATAATGTTTGGGTCAACTGTCTTGGTACCATGGCCTAACTAAGTTGACCCAAAATTTAACCATCACACAGCCCTACATGTGTACTTTATTATTTTCTCTAGGATGTTGTTTTTGGACTTCCTTGGCTATCTTTAAGGCTAACCTACCATATAAGGTCTTCTAGCTTGAGTTCTCATCTTTTACCACAATTCCGTTTTCCTGAGTGTCTTCCCTTGGATGCCCTTCAGGCACTTTCATTCCAACATGTTTAAAACAGAAACTCATTATCTTTTCTCCTTATCTACTATTTTCTTTATTAATGATAAGATTATTCAGTCTAGAAATCTTAGAATCATCTTTGAATTATCCCCTTCATCCTTTCCTGTAATGAAATTTCAATTCATTCACTTGCTCAACAATATTTATTAAATGCCTCCAATAATGTGCTAGACAGTGTAAACAAAATAGTGATGAGGCAGACAATAAACAAATAATCCCCCAAATAATTCTAATTGTGATAAACTCTATGAAGAAAAAGCACAGGGTGCTAGGAGATTGTGTAACTGAGGGACCTCCTGTAGTATGAGAGGGACAGGCAAGGCTGACATAAGGATACATTAGTTAGCAGGCAAAACTGAGGAGTAAGGAGAAGAACAGTATTACAGGTGGAAGAAACCAAGTGCCAAGACCCTGATGTAGGATAAAATGAGAAGTGATATGATGCTTGAGTATTAACTCTGAGCCAGGAAATTTTATTCTCACAGTGACCCTATGACATAGGTATTATGATGTAGATATTACATAAATCAGTCAGTCCTTATTTTAACTGAAAAAACTGAGGCTCAGAAAGATTAAATAAGGGATTTAGGTTTATGCAAGATAAAGTGGCATAGGAATGAGGATTCCATTCCATTCTCTGCAGGAGACTCAGAGAAGAGATCCACAGCTTCTAATCATCCCATTATTGTACCATCAGCAAGAGAAGGAAACACAATCAGACTTCGAAATCATTAGTGTATCCTGGTAAAGCAGTGTACAATATTCTGACTTTTTAGACCAAGAATATTTTTTTCCAGTGTATGGGTCACATGATCTCAATCACTTTGGAATAATTCACATTAAAGTAACACTAGACATTGATTAAATGTTTCACTTTCTTTTCTGCTCTTAATTAATTGCAGCATTAGTTTATTGCTTTCTTTACTAAAAGTAAAAATGACTTTTTTTAACATACCAAAATATTTGCTTTAATGTCGTACAAGTGAAGTGATTATGAATTTCAGATTGGCTAGATTTCAGAATAATTTACTACATCTTTTTTTTTACCCCTTGCAGGAAGAAGCAACAGTTCTAATTAGAATAGAAATAGAATTGAAATAGAATAAAATTTAAATGGACTCCATGAACATAACATCTCTTTTAATTTACAATTATAAACTTCACCAAAGGAAGAAATAGAATTCTCAGAAAGATGCATTTTGAAATTTAAAAAACTTGTCATAGATTTCTAGTTTTAATATTCACTACAGTGGTATTGGCACCTAGTTAGAAATTTTCAAACAGAGTATAAAACATAAAAGTTCACATAAAGTACACAAAAAGATGAAAAGAGATAAGAGCTATTGGTGATTCTCTTACACTGGCCACTTTTCAATTTGTTGCACTGCAGTTTCTGGCCCTACAGCTTCATCTAAATTGTTTTTGTCTGGGGCCCCAGTGAACTCTAGATTGTTGAATACAATAGAAACTTTCGGTACCATTAGATACAGCAGACCCCTCTTCACTTTTTTCTTAGTTGTGAGGGCATCAACCACTTGTGGTTTTCCTTTTGCTTCTTTTAGTGACTCTTCCACCATGTTCTTTGCTGGCACTCCTTACTAGACCTCCAAAAGCTGGAAGGGAGGCATACTGGTTCCTCTTTGTCAACAACATGTCTTTCCTGGGTGATTGCATTAATCACCATTACTTAAAATATTATCGATGTGCCAAAGAATTCCAAAATATCTTTCCAATCCAAGTCTTTCTAGCTTCACAATCATTTATTCAGTAGCTTCCTCGATAATTCCATTTGGATTTCTCTTAAACATCTCAAATCTAACATGTCTAAAATACCCAAAACTGCTCCTTTGTCTTCTCATTTCAACCACTGTCTATCCAAAAAAAAAAAAAAAAACAAAAAACACAAAACAAAACCTGTCATCCTTGATTTAGCTCTTTCCCTTCCATTGAGTTCTTTTAATCTTATCTTTGACATGTAATAAATATTTCACTTCATTTCTTTGCTACCAATCTCATAAAAGCCACCATCAGCTTTTGCCTGGACTCCTTCAGTAGCCTTGTAGCTGGTTTCTGCTTTTATTCTTGCTTTTAGTCTATTCTCCATACAAGGATCATTTAGAAGTAAAGGTCATCATTTAATGTCTCTGCTCAAAATGCTTTTTATTGTACTTAGAATAGAATCAAATGTTACCATGGCTTCCTAGGCCCTGTGACATCTTGCCCTGTCTACTGTCCCTATCATCTTGTGAAGTGTTCTTCCTTGCCCATTCTACTCCAACACTGCTGACTAGCTTTCTTTTGACTCCTCAAATATGTCAAAGTCATTTCTGCTTCATTTCTGTTTCTCAAATATTCAACGTCTTCCCAGCTTTTGGGTTTTGTTGTTGTAGCCCTGCCTAAAAAGTTCTTTCCTCTTTTTTTTCTCTTTTTTATAATAGGGACTTTTCCTTAATATTTCCTTTTCAGGGAGTTATTTCCAGACTGCCCTACCTAAGTGCCTCCACTAGTCCAGAGTCATACTCTCATATCATTCTGTTTAGTTTCTTTCCATCACTTATCCCAATTTGAAATCATCTTGTTTATTGCCTCTCTCCTATATTGCTAGATTGTAGGCAGTCTTTCTGTAAATTCAAAAATAGTCTTAAAAGTTTTTTTTAAGGTGATTAGACAAAAAATGCTTTAAAATGAATTGATATCACAAA